GCTCTCTTTTACGGTAGCCAAGCATCCTTTCCTATTCCGCTCCTCCACTCATGCCATCCAGACAATTACTCTAATCTCGTTCGTGCCAGTTCATTGAGCATCACTCCCTCGGTATCTCGCCCTGCACATGCATAGGGAATTCGCCATTCGAAGCTCTCACAACGTCCTCGAATCTGGCCACCGCAATCGCATTGCATCGTCAGTAAATCCATTTATCATAACCTCAGACCGGGGTCAACCAATACTCACGCCGACTGAAACATAATATACGCCATCTCATCGTTATACACGTTTCGCGTGTATTCGGCCTCCTCGTGGGCGACCTTCAACGTCGTTGTCCCCCTCCCAGCGCACGCCGCGTCAGCGAGCAATTGAGCCTGGATGCAACGATCCATGGCGCCAAAGAGGAACGCCGCGGCGTCGACGGTCTTTCCCACAGTCAGGTGGCCGTGGTTCTGCAGGATGACGCCCTTGGTGTTGCCTAGTGCTTCAGCGATGTGGCGACCCTCGTCGGCTTTGAATGCAATGCCGCCAAAGCCAGAGTAGACACCATGGTCGTTATAGAAGCTGGGACGAGGTAGGTACGTTAGTGTGCGCCTCTGGTTTCCAGTGCACGGAGGGCTGTCCCAACACTGAACAGTTTCGCTCCCTTTCGGCCTGCAAGTAGGGTGGGCTGGTTGACCTACCGGCACGCATCCTGATTAATGGGCTCGAGCATGCATCCCAGACTGGAAAACGCCTTGCTTGGAACGCTGTGGCAATGCACGGCCGCGACGACGTCCGGTCTCGCTTCGTGGACTGCCGAGTGGATGACCCAGCCTGCAGGGTTGACGCTGTGCATATTCCCGCCCTGCCCGTCGACAATGTCGCCCTCTGCCGAAACACATCAGCTGTAGTCTGGTACTCTGGAACCTCGACCCCTCCAGTAAACAGCAAGCCGAAAATGCTCGCTGAAGGAAAAGGGGAGACAATTAAGAAGAGGCTAATGGACAGACACTTACTCGGCCCCATCAACACAAGATCCTCGGGCCTCATCCAGCTGAAACTCCGCCCATGCGGATTAATCCAGAAGTGGTCCGGGAGGATGGGATCGCGAACTGTGACATGTCCACCCGCGCCCTCATTATTATACCCCTGATACCCGAGCCAGCGCAGGGCAGCTGCATGGTGAAGTTTCCGAAATGCGCGCTCCGCTTCCAGAGATTGAAATTTTGGATACCGGATCCGCGTCACGGGTGCGGTCCCTGTTGTTTGGTACGCGCCAAACGTAAATTCGGGGGAGAAGTTAGGAGGTTGCGGCGGCCGTGCTATGTGAGGCGCTGGGCCGCCATGTTGCGATGCGACACGCTCAGAGGCAACGGCCGCCAAGGGCGACTTTTGGGTAGTTGAGATCGCGCGAGCATGTATGTTCGTATATTGACGCGGGCGTGGCAGCCATCGTAGTGACGGGATTCCCTTTCGTGCTTTCATTCCCGCTCCCAGGACGGATAAGCAGCTCGATGATGCCATGGCGCGACGCACCCCGTCTCAGTCGTACTTGTTGTACTCGTACTCGTGCGGTCGTAGTTGTCCAAGGTTGTCATCAATCGCCGTGTCACTCACTATATCCGTCACTCTTCCTACATCGATGGATACAATGCACTTGCTACTTGCTTGAGATGGAAAAGACGTGCCCCAATCCCTTTTGGCTGACCTGTCTGTGGGTGTCGCTGTCCATTTCTCCGCAGAAGCCAACTGTAAAGGCACGGTCGCCGTTGCGGGGAAGTTGCGCACGGCGGTTTGATCCGAGGGATTCGAGTCGACGTACGGAGGAGATTTCTCCAAAGATCGTCGATAGATGCAGATGCCATAGGATAGAGTATACCATAGGATACCATATACCTGCCTCCCGGTATCGTGCACTCTGGTTGAACGTCCCGAATCATTGGTCTGTCGGGATAAAACTCCGACTAGGAAATATCTGTTCGATTCTGTATCATTATGTCTTCCTGGTCCGCTGGGGTGGTGGTGGGCGTGTGTAGTACATGTACTACTCTCTGAGTACCTACTTAGGGGTTCCAGCCTTGCTGGTGGATCGCCGGCCAAGCCACACGCTGGAATCCACAGTCTCACAGTATTACCTTCCTATAATAATACCTTCGTACAGAGTGTAGCGTTATGTGTGTGTGTGTGTGTGTGTGTGTGTGTGTGTGTGTGTGTGTGTGTGTGTGTGTGTGTGTGTGTGCCTCTCCTGTGAACTTTGAGATGCCAGCGAAGCATGGACCTTAGGAACATCCGCTTTATAACCGCTTCGAGTATGATCCCAGCATCTCTTGATGGTGTCAGCCAAATATCCTGTGGCTGGTGGACCTCGATCACTGCAATCCGACACGACAGAAGCGAAAATCCAAGGTTCGAAACTACACAGACTGCCAGACCCAGCTACATGGCTGGAAATATTGAGTCTCTATGGAAAAACTGGAAGGATCTCACGGGTCATGGTGTGGTCAATTTCTCCCTGAACCGCGATAGTATTCTCCACTACCAGCCTGAGGCGGGCGAGGAAACCATTCAAAACTTGGGATCATCCCAGTCTTTACTGAGCTCGACGGTCTCAAACACCGTTCCGACACCCTTCTCCTTTGTATCGAAGGAACAGAAATGACATTTTCTTCTCTTTCCCTTCCCTATGCCTTAGACCACCGATTTCTGCTTGGCAAAGGTGACTTTCGAGCGGAAGAGGTCCGAGCCGTTCCATCTATGCACCTCTTGTTCGATAACGTGAAAGGGTTGAAGTCGAAAGCTTGGACGGGTCCTACGCGACTCTTGGTGCAACCGGCAACGATAGTGGCAGATCGGGAGACACGATGCAGTATCTCGGTGACAATAGCTAGGATGGAGGATGGGATCGGACCGCAATACATCATTGTATGGGAAGTAGAGGAGACTTTTCTATATTCTTCTGATAGCTATTCGGATCATCCGGGGTGCTGAGGGTTGTTGACACTTATGCTTCAGAAGGGTCATCGTTCAGGGGATGGCCAGTCATCTGGACGACGCCCGATGACTCCCAAGGGATGCCATCTGTTTAAGAACACTCAAGCAAGACCACTGGTTGCTCTCAAAGAATTTATACTCACATCAGTGGGGATATGCGAGTTTCAAGCCGTGTACAGATCAGGGCTTAGCATTGGAAGGACTGTCGTTGGATTTTCTGCACCGCGAGTATCAGCCCAGACTCGAGTCACCGTGCTTTCAAAACCCATGCGACGCTTAACGTAGGCATCAGGTGCCCGTCCAGCGTACGACAGGTTCGAATTTGTGGTTCGAGGAGTCGTGGCGTTTCAGGTTCAGCGGGGCCCAATCTTCTCCATGCCACCCATGTACCCTCTGAGCACCTCGGGAATGATCACACATTCGTCATCCTCACGCCAGCCATTCTCAAGAATGGCTGCGAGGACTCTGGGCACCGCCAAAGCCGTCCCATTGACCGTATGTGCGAATTTCTTTCTCGATCCATCAGGCTCCAAAATCCTCGTGTCAAGCCTACGGCTCTGATAATCCGTGCAGATAGAGGCAGAAGTGACTTCACCCCACCCTCCATCGCGTTTCTTCCGCGACGGAAACATAGCTTCGATGTCGATCTTGCGGTAAGCGCTTGCGCCGAGGTCAGAGGATGGCATCTCGAGGATTCGGCACGGCAAGCCAAGTGCTGAGACGATTTCAGTCTGGATGTCAACCATTTCTTTCAGAAGAAGCTCTGCATGTTTGGTCCAGCTTTTCTCGTCCGCGAGACCTTCACTACCTAGTGCCGCAGAGTTGGTCCACGCGAACATTTCCACTTTTGTGAATTCGTGGACTCGGTACAGCCCTTTCGTGTCGACCCCTCGAGCACCGGCCTCGGCGCGATAACATCGACTCGGTCCGACCAGCTTGATGGGCAGTCGTTCCGCAGGGATAGCTTTGTTCGCGTATATGCCAGCAAGAGGGATTTCGGCTGTTGCAGCAAGACTTCTGGTCGGCTTGCCCTTGTCTCTGTCAGATTGGGCTACCTGCCAGATCTGTTGTTCGTCGTGCTGATCTCGTGGTTGAAAGCCACACGCAGCTGCCATATGAGAATAGACCAGGGACGGTGGAGCCACCACAGACCACTGTCGTCTCATGGCCACGGACATGGCGTACTGGACCAATGCTTGTTCCAGTAGAGCAGCTTCATTCAGCAGGTAATAAAATCCCCATCCCGAGCTTGTCGCCGCGGACGAGAAGTCGAGTAGTCCCAGCTTATCCCCAATCATCGAATGGTCGGCAGAAGGGCCGTACTGAGGAGGATTCTGCGGGTCATAGTTGATGTAAGATCGCAATCTCGGTTCGCCGTTCGTGGGCGTCTCTGAGGACGTCAAATTAGGCAGAGACATTGCCATAGTGTGTGTTTCAACCTCCAAAGCATCTTTTTCGGCCTGCAGATTGTCCACTTCTGGTCTGATTGCTTTCATCCGCGCAACAGTCTCCGACTTGTCCCCTTTTGACGCATTCAACTGCTTCTGCAACTCCTTCAGCGTGTGTCTTGATCCAATCATGCGCTGGTCGAGCTCTCTAATCTTCCTGGAATTCTCTGCAATCTGCCGTGGGATATCCGTATGGCTGCGGTAGTTCCGCACCAGAGTATTCTTTTCGTGGAGCTCGACATTTTCTCGGATCTGGGTGATGGGGGGATATTGTCTCGGAGCGGTCGCCGGTCGTGATTCTTGGAATAAAGCGAGGGACGTGCTGTAGCTTCTCCTGCAGCGAAGCAGGAACTGCCTTGCTTCCAAGGCTCTTATAGACATTGAGCTCTGGTGGCCGAGTATACGTTAGCAGGTGAGAGGGCGTGGGTAACGCGTTTTGGGGAAATATTAACCGCGTCTAACCGAGGCTACTAGCGCCGCAAAATTGTTTGATAGATATTTTGTATGCACAATTATTAACCTGATTTGGTCCACGAAACGCACACAGAAATGCGCTTCTTCAACACCCTGTCGAAGGGTGGCGTGGCCTAATGGTAAGGCGTTGCTTTCCGGTCTCGGAATATGGCAAAGACTGTGGGTTCGAGTCCCATCGCCATCGATACATTTTTGCTAGTTGAACATCGACCTCTTTTTGCCAGTTGGAAGACAACAACCCTTTCCCTCTACCAATTGTGGTCCGATAAAGCAGCTAGAGCTTGTACAAGCGCATGACTACATGTCTTAAATCTGATGCGCGCCTAGGAGGGCCTCAAGCTCTCAACTTCTATCTCCCTGGCAATATTGCGAAACTCAACCTAGTTGCCGTGGTCCACTAGGAAGCACTCATTTGTCGTTCTACACCGTCAATGAGGTCGCCTTGACAAGAGTTTCGCATCCAAATACCAAGTCAGGGTTGATATTGTGCGTGACTCGGCCACGACTATGACACGCTCCGCGCAAAGTGATGCCGACGACAAGTCCAAGAACAAGGGATCACTGTCTTGGCCACCACCAGTTTTATCTCAAACGGTATTCATTGTTCCAGTCGCAGTTTGGATCGGGAACCAGTTTAGTCACTCGATCCTAGAGTCGTGGCTACTGTGGCTATTGCTTGACCGCCTGGGATTGGCACCCTCCCTAAGAATCCTTTGGAGATTCCTTTCTATCCGCGGCGACCTTTTGCAACCAAGCTAGTAGAACAATGCCACGATACATCGCTGAGAGTATCCATGCAAATGCACGCCTCTCAAGCCTTGCAATCCAGCTAGGCCTCAAATACATTCATACAAGAACCTCCTAACGCCGACCATAACCGCCTTGGGTGTAGCCGTTGCCACCATGATTTCCACCTCGATTGTCTCTTCCAGGCGGACCTCGATTCTGGCCCTGATAATTTCCATCACTAAAGCCTCTTCCACCATTCTGCTGATAATGGCCATTGCTCCCGTATTGGGTTTGTCCCTGGTTTCCGCCATAGTAACCATTCTGCCCCTGGCCACCATTCTGTCCTTGATCGTACCCACCATACCCCTGACCGGCGTAGTTGTTGTATCCTGGATAGCCGTTTGACGGTGGAGGGCCACGGTTGTAACCATTTTGACCACCAAAGTTTGGCGGTGGCGGCGGAGGCATCCCAGGAGGCCACTGGTTGGGAGGTGGCATCATAGGTGGGCCGTTCAACGGTGGACGATCAGCTGCATAGTTGATGCGACCACCACGATTGTGGTTATCCATGGGATCGCGTCGAGTGTTGTCGTAGAGCGGCGCACCGCCAAAGTCTCGTCCCGAGTTCCTGGCCTTTGATCGAAGAATTGCCAAATCACCCTTGTCGAGGACAGCAGGAGGTAAGACAACCCCGGGAAATAACATGGATTTGTGGACATGTGTGGGCGGCGGCATGGTGAAGAATACGCTGATAGATCGATCGTCGTCGACTTCAGGGTCCAGCTTGATGCCAGGTTCTGGGCCTACCAGATCCATGTGAGGCAGGAAGTCTTCATTTTTGATCACTTCTCCAGCTAGTTGAAATTTCTGCATTGACAACTTCACCGTTTTAGGAGCGTCCTTGGACTTCTTCGAGTAGAACTTCAATGCCAACTGTTCATAAAGTGGATTCTGTTCTGATATGATCAGGGCATCATATCCGCGCTCGTTCCTCGCATGCTCATCGGCGGTCAGGAGCGGATATTTGGTGGCCATGGCATTCAACAGACGCTTCTCGTCGATGAAAGGTAACAAGACAATAGCTTTCCAGGATTGCTTCGCACCATTCAGATCAAGATCGAACTCCTCGGGATAAAAGTCGACAATGTCGGAATCTGGATCGGTCATCAGGGGATGAAAAGCACTTGGGATGGCATGGTTAGATGAAGCTGGCAGCACTCCCATCAACTGCTCGTACGGTTTGAACGGTGTTCCCTTTTCGAATTTGACAACCTTCTTGTCAATGTCGACAAAGTCTGCCGCGAATGGAGCGTAATGGTAGGGATAGTACCAAGTCCAAGACGGGCATCCTTGGAAATAGTAGAGAAGCACCCACGACAATCCTTCGACGTAGGCTTCAGCAACCTTGCGGCGGAATTCCATATCATGAGGGGAGACATGGAACTTCTGCTCGTAGTACCGATCACTATACCCTTCCTCCCACAAGCGAACTGTATCTGGCGGCGGGTTATTGGGATCGCCATTGTTGAAGGTCTTCTTCTCAATCGGTGTGGTACGCCCGGGTGTGCCATCAGTATCTGTCTCGTCGTCCATCAATGCAGCTTGCCGTTTGCCTAGTGCGAAGGGAGAGGCACTGGTATCATCTGACTCCGCCTCCATCTGGGACGCACTTCGCTTGCCAAGAAGAGATCCTGCAGAGCCTGGAGTTCCGTTGGCTCCATTAGCGGTGTCTTTGGTGGGAGTCTCGGCAGCGGCTTTCCTGGCGAGCATTTGCTCCTTGAGGACAGCTGCAGCGCTCTTGTTTGAAGTATGTGCTTTGTCCACTGCACCTCTGTTCACAATTGAGTTGTAGTCCATAGTCGGAAAATTGGTGGCATCAAACAACACAGGAGTACCAGTTGGAACACGAGCATCCACTGGAACTCTGCCACCTTTGGTGTAGTCCGGAGAGCCTCGACGTCTCTTGTTATTACGGGCGTCGCGGGCTCGCTCTGCATCGTTACGTCGTTGGTCCCTTATCGCTTGCTTGTCTGCGGCCTCCTTTCTGCGTTTGAAAATTGCATCTTCTTGCTTGGCTAGACCCTGCAGGATGATCTGTCCACGGGCAAGATCGACCTTGCCATCGCAGGTCAAGTAGCCTCCCATGAGTGGGATATTGTCTCTCCAGATAGCAATGAGCTTGTCGATACCATCTTCTCTGATATCCAGACTGGGAAGATGGGGCAGAAAGTCATTGCCGACGAAGAAACACATGAAGACCCAATCGTCGAGGGCGCGTTCAAGATCAAAGCGGAAAGTCTGACCGGGCACGAACATCTCCGCACCGAGATACTCACGCAGTACGGGGACATTCAACCAGATAAACGGCTTCAGTTTCTCAACCGTGCCTTTCTCGTCAAACTCGCCCGACTTCTCCTTGGCTTCACCTCTGCAGTTGTCGGCATAGTGACCTTGGCGACCGCAAATTCTGCAGGTTCTAGCCTTGGCATCATTGAGGAAGACGTCTTCTCGGAGAACACGAAAGTGAGGCTCATGTGTAGCGATACCAAGCATGATCAAGTCTGCATCAAGACCGTACATGACGTGTCTTGTGTTGGGATCATATGCGGGGTCCGAGCGTTGGGAACGAATGAACTGCATGATCTTGTGCTCACCTTCACCCGGCACACTGGCGTCGGAGATGACGACCTTCAGCTGTGCCCAGGCAGGATCCGTATTGAGTTTCCACTGGACCCAGAATCGAATGGATTGAGCAAGGATAAACATGAAAGGCGTGCCAGGTGTGATGACATTACTGTCCCATGTTTTCTTGACTACCTCTTCCACCGTCTCTGCTTCATCATCATCATCATCATCATCGTTGTTGCTGCGCTGTTGGCGTAGAAGTGTCTGAAATTCTGCCTTTTTCTCGTCCGCCTCTTTTGCATCTCTCGCCGATCTGAAGCGACGCGCTCGTTGCTGGTTCATTTTCGCTCGAGGGGCCACGCCGTCTAATTTGCGTTAGCTAGCATCCTATAAAATAGCACACGTATCTTACCGATGGCAATCATCAACAGTCTTCGAGGTCTAACCATGTTCACGACACGATCAGTGTACTTGAAGATCTCCAACATCATCTCAGTCTCATTTGCCGGGGGAGGCTTGTCCTCTGGATGGGAACAAGGATGGACGATGCCATTGAAGTCAAGATACAGATTGTGAAATTCTTCTCCATTGGGGTTGGGCTTCGTGGTGTCCACGGGATATTTCACGCCATCAATTTCGACGGGTTGTTCTTCGATAACGGGGGTGATAATCTTGGGATATTTCCTAGTGAGCCATCGGAAAAGCGCGGGGACACCCATCTTGACTCGTGGTGGCCTTAGAAATGGGAAAACAAGACGAATAAGCCTGCAAAAAAAGTCTTCTCGGAGGGTTCCAAGTTACGCTCCTGCCTGTGGCGCGCGGATGAGGAAAGAATGGAACTCGCGTCGAGAACAGCAACGACTCGAGGCTACAATTAAGAATCGACTCAGCATCAACAGTACATGTTAAGCTGAATCAAGAACTGAAAACTGAAGTGAGATGGATGAAAGAGGAAGTTGCCTCGAGACGAACTGCGCCTTCGAATCTGGTCTTCACTTGTCTTAATCGGGTTAGTTCAGGCTTGGCATGGCTCGTGCTAGGGCGGCAATTTACTCGTTCGGGGGTTGTACTCATCCTACGACGCACGAATTCCACCCGTGGTCTGTTGAGAGAATCAACCTCCGGAATCACCTGAATGAAGATACATTACATGCGTCGTATCACCGTCCCGACTACACTGGATATGCAGCCTTAATCCCCAAGCACTCGTTACCAGAAGTGCCTCGCCTGTAAGCGCCTCCTCATTACCGACCACGTCGTGCTTGGAGAGCCGTTGGAGAAGCGCATACCAAAGACATGAAGATGGGCTTGGATGGGCCATGCGGGGATGTCTCCAATACGAGTACTCGGTACATGACCATATGGCTAATAAGATGCCCACTGTGTTTCCATGAGAGACATAATGTTTGCCCTGACCCATACAGAGAGTACAGGTAGGTTCCATCACCGTTTACTTCGCACCAGCAGCCATCAACCATGGGGGACCAAACCATGTCCGAGCCTTACAAGCTGCCAGAAAATCCCACCTACGGATTCGTGGGCATCGGCGTGATGGGATATGGCATGGCTACGAACCTCCGCGCCAAGATCCCTCAAACCGCCAAGTTCGTGCTGTGCGAGATCAACGAGGCGAGAAGGGACCAGTTCATCAAGGAATGCCACCTGCCCGTGGACGTGGCGTATTCTCCGAAAGAAGTCGCAGAGAAGGCTGTAGGTGAGCACCCAGCGTCTCCGATCCTGTCATCACCCAGTATCGAGGGCAAGGCATTCGATGGATGCGGGACCCTGCAAAGCTGAAAAGAAGCAATCGCATGAATTAGGATGTCATTA